TAAACTGTTGATGGTATTTTCATAAACCACACTGTCCTGCTCATTACCACATGCAGTTTGAGCGATTGTGCACTGTTCATATGTAGATCAGAGTACTTCCAAGAGACAGACTCATACCTCCCATTTGTAACTGAGGAAGTGAAAAGCAATGCATCCACTCAAAGGTCAGAACCAAGGCTAGAAATGAGCGCCAGCTCCTGCAACCCACCCTTACACATCCTGCCCAGAGAGGCTGGTGGCCTCCTACCACCTGTAGTTCAAAGTTGCTTCGTAATTTTAACATAAAGGGGATTGTGTTTTATCAGCTACTGTTCCGCACCTTCATTTTCCATCATCACCTCTGAAGCTGCAGAGCAGAGCAGTTGAATTCTCAGGTGGCAGGTACCATATTCATTCCTTGTGTAGGATGGGAGGTGCCAGGGCTGTAAACCCCCCGTATGTGTGGAAGCATGCTGTAGTTCCAGGAACCTCAGGAAGCTGTGAGGGCACTGATACTGCTTTCTGTTTGCTGAAATGGCACTTCAGATGATGCTTTCAAAGAGTAAAAGTCACAGCTTTGAGACTGGAAAAAGTCTCCATGAATTTGGTGAGATTAATTTCACAATTCCACTTTAAAAAATCACTGCTTATATTCATGTGGTTAGCTCCTTGTGAACTTTAACAAGCAAAGTAAATCTTCCAGTTGTTTAACAGTATTAAATGCCTTGAAAATAATCCACAGCAGGGATTGTTCTTAGAAACTGTGCTGTGAAGTAGTTAAGTTGAACATAGCTTAGTGATGCTTAGAATATTCCTTCAATACCTGGGGGTTTTAAGGCCATTGTAAGATTATTCAGGCCAAAAGCGTTAAGGGATTTTTGTTTTCCTTTTTAGATCCTCCTCCTGTTTTTTATAGCTCGTGTACAAGTGTTTTTGTTCTCAAGGACAAAATGATCACAATCTCTATGATCTAGGGATAAGGTAATACTGCAGGTTAGACTTACTTAACCTAAGTAAGTTACTTCTTTATTTTTACTATTCTTTTTGTCTGTTTGCCTTCCACTTCCCTAAACCCCACGTTACCTGACCCCCAGGAAGTCTGCAGTACAGCCACTGCTACCCTCTCCTGTGCTTTAGGCCTGCAAGCTGACATGCTACATCCAGTAAAGATCCCACAGATTTGAACAGCCTAAGCTTAAAAACAGTTACCCTGTCCTTAAAAGTTTCTTTCACACAGTTATGCCTGTAAGACACAGCAAAAGACACTTGTTTTCCTCTTTAAAACTGTAGTTATCTTGGGGGCTGCCCAGCTTTAACCAAGCTGAACACGGTACAGCTGCGCAGTACATAAAACCCACCCAGATACCATCAAAGCTTCACTTTTCTCAAGGTCTTCACTCAGTTGTAGTTCCTGTTCTGGAACTCAGTTCCCTGACCTAAAACTACAGACCATAAAAACGTGAATTTTCTCCTATCTCCAGACTCTTTCTTGCCTAAAATGTTCCAATTAATCCTTACTAGTGTGTTAAGCAAGCAACTTATTTTCCTGCGTGCAAAACCACACGTAAGAGGAACCAGGAGTATATTGCTTCCCAGCTTCCCGAGACATCCAGACGAAGAGGCAGATTCATAGCGAGTTCCATTCTACTAAAAAAGAAGAACACAGAACCACACAAAGACCCAACCACCAGTAAGCATTTACCTGCTTCTTTTCAGAAACCTCATGAGGCACCTTTGATACATGAGTAATATTTTAATGCCACTTACAATGTCTACAACGATTCACTTGTCGTTGCATTAGCCAGACCAAGCGTGGAAAACAAAGTGACCAAAAAGCACGGAACAGAAACCTGTATTTCATATTGGAACTGTGTGGTGAAGCCAGAGACAAGGGTTCAAAAATGGCCCTTCTGCTAGGTGGGGGTGCCTAATGTGCTGTTTTGGATCCCAACTGTTCCCAACATACGGACCAGAATTGGGCACACAAGTTTTCTGAGCAGATTCAGGATGCATAGGTACAGGGTTAGAGCGATTTTATGAAATAGGCTGTCAATTAAATGTAACCACAAAAGAAAGACCTGTACCAGACCAAACAGTGATGAAATAAACACATTTAAGTTAAGTTGCATGATACAACTAATCTAACAAGAGAATTACCTCTGGGGATTTTACAGGACCAGCATACACAGAATATTCAGGTTTAAACATTTATTTTCCACTTGATGTATGGTAAGTTATTTTTTTAGGGAAAAAAAAAAGTCATTACATATATTTGAGATCATGACAGTGATAAAAACAGTTCTGACCATTGTGTTTTGACTATTCAGATTCATGTGAACTTGCAAACAAGAGTAAGTCATTCATTAGTAACAATGCACCTTCGCTCTTGCACTGAGAGCAGAATTCTCCTGGTCCAGATTCAGGTTTTTCTGACCAATTTTATTTGGTTCTGCTGAGCCACACTTATCTCGGGAAGAGAAGGAAGAACACTCATGCACAAATTATTTATCAGTATTACCCTACTACCAGAAACCTGAGAATGAGTCTAGTTCAGTAGCGGGACTCGCCTGGCCTTGAAATGATTGATACAGCACTTCTTTGACACAGAAGTGTTTGAAAGTTTCTCTTAATTCTATCACAGCACCTTTCACCTTACATCTAAGCATTGCTGCGTTTTGTCTTCTCTAATTTTGATTACCTGTTTGAATGCCTTATTTCACACAGAAGTATTTTCTTCTCTCAATACTGTCTGAGCATTAAAAAGAAGATAGGTACAACTGTTGCTTCCTACAGGAAGATGGTAAGGTGGTTTTGATGAAAGCAAGCTTGTTGCTCTCTGGTTTATGCACTATCAGCATGCAGGTGTTGCAGCTTCAACCAGAGGTCTATGACTACATTTAGAGAAGCAGCAAGGGTCTAAGTAGTGCCACTGGAATCCAAGCAGCATGTTTGTTAGTTTGCTCTATGACGGAATTCCCACAGAGGGTTCTGCAGTGCAAATCATTCAGTTATTAACTGGTAGCTACCAACTTGGAGAAGATGAATTAAGAGGTTCAAAGTGCGTGTATGCTCAGTATTGTGCAGGTACCCCTGTGTAACCACAGGGAGCGCAACGTGGTCAGCTGCTCAGTTCCCTTTAGTATAACATACAACTGCAGAAGCGACCCAAAGAGCTATGTGTTTATGTGTTGGATACATTGTGTACCCCAGTAAGGGGGGGGGGGAAGATGACACAGTTTACTGAAGCATAAAAAATTAAACAGGAAACCAACTGACAGTATGGTAATTCAGGCATTTTGACTTAAAAAGGTAAGCATTTCTCCAAAATTGTCTGGAGTATTTCATTTTCTAAATTAACCAAACATGCCCCCATGCACAAAAATCCTAGTGTGATCAGTCTTGCAATTCTGAGATTCCTTATTTCCAACTGGAAACACATCCCTAGCATTACGGCTTTGCATCATCAGGGAGTAATGCTCCACTTCCTGAGAGAACACCCATTCATGGAATAGATACAACAGGGGCTTCGGTGTCACGCATAATTCACCAAGGCTTTAACAACTACTGAAACGTTTGGTATTTTAATGAAATGCTATGAGCAGAGAAGAAGTCAGTGTTTGCAATAAAAATTGACGTGGGTGCTAAATGTCTAGGCGTGCCTTTCCATCCAAAAGGCGAAAGAAAGTTCCTCCCACTGAAGACTGAGGTGAATACCTAAAGATTCCTGCAATGCGGAAGTCATCTGGTTTCCATCTCCACACTAACCCCAGTAGGATAAAACAATATTTTCAAGCAAAGCACATGCAGAACACTCCCCAGAAAAATGCTAATGGGACAGTCTCCACCTCAGTCATTCTCATTGGAGAACAATCACTGCAAAGTCACAACAAAGACTTAAGATGGGAATGGAATGGAAAGAAATGAAAGCTCACTGTTACTCAATGCTGCAAGTCTGTATTCCTATGTTATAACGTGTGTTCCAAATTTCAACGTATCTTAAATTTTGCAAGTCTGTCAAGTCTCCACCTATAAACATTTCTACTCGGTTTTCAGTCCTTAGAAAAGTGGTTTATAATGACACACCTTAAATACAAATGGCTTATGTAATAATATGACGTCTACAGTATAACACGTAATAGTACAAATGGTCATTATGTGTCATACAGACTTATTTTTCAGTACTCTGTACAAAGTCAAACAAGGCAAAAAGGATGTTTCCGACACTCTGTGGCTTGTTTCTTTTTCAAGAAAAATTAATTAAAAAAGGTGGAAGTGGCAGACAGACAACAAAATGTGAAAGTTTCCATATTAAAAAGTTGTCCAGACTCTTCACGCATACGCTCTGTCCTACACCATGAAGTTGTAAGGTGGCCCCATGATGTACAATCATAAGTCTTATGCTAAGTACCTTATTTCTGAAATTGAGAAGACTCCTCCATGTATACATACATACATACATACATACATGGATTAAACACACTTGTTAAAAAAACAAAGATCTTTATCAGGAGAAATTATAGGAAACATTACAGTGAAGTACACACAGTTTGCTGCACTAGCGAAGGGGATCAAGTGCCTTGGAGGCCACCTTAGTGACAGCAATAGGAGATGCTCTAACAGCTGGTCAAAGAAACAACGGTACTTGGTAGAAAGTCTAACATAAGTAATGTAAAACAGGTTTGAGAGATCTCTGGTGTTTGTGCATAATTCACCAACCACTTCTCTCCCTGCAGGCAGTGGGAAAAAACACATTTCAGTTTTCACACTCATTGACTTAGTAACAAAGTAAGTCAAGCTTTCTACATGAATTCACACAGTGAAAAGTCCTTCCTCCAAAAATACGTCAGATCACTCAACCCACTTTCACTCTCATACACCATTTACAAAACTATTAAAACTCTGAATTCCTTCAAGCAGCATATTTTGCATTTGTCACTGGCAGGTTTGTTGTAGAAATCCTAGAAAGTTAAAACTATACCATACAAAACCATGTAAACAAAAAGGATACTTTTTACAAGGCATGTGTGCTCTTGGAGAAGATTAAAAAGTGTTTATTTTTGGTCAATAAAAGATACCTTGCTTAGCATTTTTAACAGCACCGTAGTGATTTAGGAGCCTAAGCCCGTATTACTTGAAGTTAGATTTGGACTCCTAAATATCTAAATCAATTCTGTAGCGTTATTTAAGCACTTTGAGCAATTTTTGCCATGTCTCTGATCCTGCAGAATCAGATTTTGTGTAGCCAGCAGCTAACTTTAATGTGAGATGACATTCAAGAATGTCTCACAAATGTAATTCAGTCACCAGCTGCAAGGTTTTTGGATCCTCCATGACTTAGTTTATGGTATCTACGAAACAATTTTCCAGAGAAGTGGTTTGTGACACAATGTTGCCAAGTTCCTTTTTCATAGACAACAAGGATACAACAACCGAATTTGAAGGGAAATATGATTATATGTTTCTTCTGAATATCTATTAGTGTCAAAGACCCTGTTATTTGTTCAACTGGTTAAGACAGAGAAAAACAAAATTATAAAAACATTTGTAGCACTGCATTAAGTAAAAAGGAGCATTTTTGGCACCATACATTTTTAAATCTAAGCTTTTAGGCCCAAAGTAGAGCAAGTTAAATATACACAGTGGTGGCTGGGAAAGCCTCATCTGAAATGCAACATTCTGAAAGGGAACTTTTTTTGGAAGATGCTATTTTATGCTCACTGGCTGATCTCCAAGTAACAAATACACTGGAATTTAGCCTAAATATTCACACCAAATGTTTACATATACCTCACCACTCGTACATAACACAAATATATTGCACCAACAGAACTGCCAGAATCCGTATAATATAGTCAGACATATAGTGTCTTCTTTTTGTTCTTCATTTATCTTCTTAGTGTCCTGTCTAACCTATTCTACTGTTTTGTTTGAAATTTAGCTTCAAGGTTGCTGCTTTACCTTTGCCCATAGTGTTATGATGTCCTGGTTTCAGTTGGGATAGAGTTATTTTTCTTCCCAGTGGCTGGTGCAGTGCTGTGTTTTGGCTTTAGTCTGAGAACAATGCTGGGAACACACTGATATTTTAGTTGTTGCTCAGCAGCGCTTACCCTGATCAAGGCCTTTTCAGTGTCATGCTCTGCCAGTGAGGAGGGGCACAAGAAGCCACGAGGAAGCAGAGACAGGACACCTCACCCAAACTAGCCAAAGGGGTATTCCATACCACAGCACATCATGCCCAGTATATAAACTGGGGGGAGTTAGCCGGAAGGCCTGTATCACTTCTCAGGTCAGGCTGGATATCGGTCAGTGGGTGGTGAGTGGTTGTATTGTGCACCACTTGGGTTTTCTGAATTCTCACTTATCTTTTTTTTGTTGTTGTTGTTCCCTACTATTATCAGTATTGTTACTGTTGGTGTTATTTCTATTATCTGTAACATTGTACTTTAGTTATTACACTGTTCTTATCTCAACCCCTGGGGTTTACGTTCTTTTGATTCTCCTCCCCATCCCACCTGGGAAGGAGGGAGGGATGTGGCAGTGAGCAAGCGGCTGTGTGGTACTTGGTTGCTGGCTGGGTTTAAACCACGACAAACAGTCTGTACCTATACGTGTAAGTATTACCCTTGTGCTAAATGTGCTTTGCAATTCAGCAATACCTAGTTCATAGCTCTGGAAATAATTCCTTGAAAAAGAAGCTTGCCTAATTTATACGAAGTGCACGGGGCAGCCGCGGTTCTGTGTTTTGCCACCAGGTGTCTCACTCCGAACACCCAAAACAACTGCATCAGCAAGGTTACATAAATCCACCCTCTCTCAAGGATCCCATAGGCACAAGATTTGCTAAAGCACTGGTAAAAATACCTCTACAGCTGGCTTTATTCTGTATTCAATTGCACAACTTCATCCAATTCACTGGCTTGGTTTTTTTTCCTCCCAAAGTGGTCTAAAGTATGCTGCAGTTGCTGAAAGGACTTCTGTTTTTCTTGGTCCTCTGTTTGTTTGGTTTCAGGTTGATGACATCTCCTCCATTAAGAGTGCTAGAATTCTGGTTGGAGTCACTTCCACCATCTGTGTTAAAAACACCTACAGAATTTAAAGACAAGAAAAGTATTTGTATTTCTTTACTTCTTGTAGCACAATGTATTAACACTTCAGACACAACTCTTACTACTGCATAGTAGGGCACCTCAAACGCACTCTAGTTTTTAACGGCTTTTCCTACTTCTGAGTCAATTTTGCAGCTAAATTTGAAGGACAGCCAGTTGGAATTACTAGCCAGGCAGTACTGAAAGCAGGTTTCCAGCTATATAATTGAAGGGCAGCATATGCATTCATCTGCATACGTGTATGCTACTAATAGCATGGTAACAAAGTTATGATTAGTTGAGTAATGTAATAAAAGAAAAACATGACAATTTTGAAGTTGGAAACTGCTGAGATAAAGGTAAGGAAAAAGCCTGAATAAAAAGGGGGTGTTTTAAAAAGGAAAATAAATGAACTAACTCAGAAATGCTTTAAAAAAGGACTATGGAAGTTTGGTATTCCCTTAGAAAAGGCAGTTTACAAACACCTTCTGATTACATGCCAGAATCTTTCACCATGAGTCTCCTGTAAATCCACACAAAGATGAGTAACACTGATACTAATTACATTAAAAAATCCAGCAAGCACCCTTTCTCCAAGTCTTTACACAGTATTTGTTTAAACAGACTTAATAAAAGGACGCTTGCCAAATGTTTGCTAGAGACTTTAGAGTATCAGTTTAACAGCTGTGTTAACTTTAGAGTCATAAAGTTATTTTACAGAAGGAAAGAAGACAATATCCTAAGACAGGAACGTAACAAACCCTGATTCACCTTGTATTAACTCCATAAGGAAATGGGTAAAACCATAAGCTGTGATGGCACAAAATAATGTTTCTGCTTTTTTATAACAGTATACATACCAATCTTGTTACTGCTTGTATGTACTAGTTCTGTATCTTCGGCTGTCTGTTGCTTGAGCCTTTGAAGATATTTATCAGCTAAGTACTTAAAAACTGGAATGTAATAAAAAAAAAGTATGCTTAAATATAATCTTCATATCAATACTAATGCCTCTGTATCAAAATTCTGTGTGGTGACAGGTTTAGTATGATCTGTTAAGTGATTCTCTCCCAGCATGCCTGCATACCTAAGCAGAATCCAGGTTAATCCAGAGTCTACCCAGGTTTTACAGCCTGCAGTACTGCTCTTGCACAGCAGATAGAAACATCTCAATACTTCTATAATAAAGCTGGCACATAACATTTTGCCAAATGTGCAAATTCGTACCACCTGGCACTTTTTTAAGTTATACGGGAATTTAACATACTTTTTTTTTTTTTTTTTGCAAGAAGTCTTAGAATAATAGCAGTCATGTAAGGTTAAGTCTGTTAATAAAACTTGGCAGGAACACTGCTCCAATTAAGTAATGCTACCCTCGTTTGTATTGGGATATAAAAAGTCTACCTAGGATTCTGGAAAAAAAAATCCCCATCCAACCAAACCAAAAGCTATAGGAGAATTTTCAGAACCTATATTCATTATGATTATTTATATTCAAAATTAATAACTCATGCAAAGATACAGAAACATTTTATATTTTGTCTTCCAGATTCATCTCCCAAGGTAAATAAAATTAACAGAGAAGAAACAAGTAGTTTACTATTAAGTTTGCCTGATTAAGCTAACAAAGTTATCAGAGACTCATATTTATTCAAACCTACCCCACAAAAGATAGTGACCAAAGTCTGTAACAGCAGTATTATGAAAGTAAATATATACACTTAAAAGTGATACTTAAGAACTAGTCAAATATCACCTGCAAGAGAGCCAATCTTGTACTTTATTTAACTAAACTATTAAGTGTTTCTATCAGTTAATAACAATTACAGAATAGTCTGTTCAACAATATGTATATTGTAGTAATTGAACTTACACTTCGTTTTTTTCAAAGCCCAGTGCTTTTATGGCAGTCATTAGGGACTAAGCAGCTTTAACACACTGGCACTTCTAAATATTGAAGCTGTGCACTGATTGTGGAAGGGAAGATGTACACAACGAAACAGGCCTAATACACTGATACCAAGTAATTCTAGCTATGTTTAAAGTGTGCTGCTAAGGGAAATCAAAAGGCCAACAGCATGCAACAACCTGCAAAGTAACAAAGCAGCTCCAAACTGGAGCACTGTTCCCCACTGCAGAGCAGAGGGCAGGACAAACACTGCTGCACTTCATACCTTCCGTTACGTTTAGGTCTTCCTTCACAGAGGCTCGATAGAACCTTAACTTCAGCTTTTTTGCCAGTGCTTCTGCCTCTTCACTGCACAACAGAAGAAGATTGTGTAAACACTAATTTGTATTATTTGTCAGCATTTATTCTTACAGACAAAATGCTTCTTGGCAAGTTAAGCATGGCAAGGTGGGCTGAGAAACTCAGTCAAAAAGTAGGTGTTCCTTATTTGTTTACAGTATTTCCATTATAAAAAGATGGTATTTTACATGCATTTTCTCTATGACCAGAAATAATTCCTTTTCAGTACTTATTGACTTCATTAACTAAAATTTCCCAAGGATTCAAAGACAGGTGTCAGTGAAACCAAAAGGAAAAAGGCTGTAATTAACAGCACTAGAATCAGAACAATTACTACTGCAAAGTCAAAACAACAATCAAAAGAGTAATCCTTAAGTATATTTTAATGAAGCAGTAGACTCATCAGATGAGTGCAGAGGTGAAATCAAGGATTACTTTGTGAGGTGAAAGAAAACTTGTGCTAAATTTTAAGGAAAAGTTGAGGAAACTTATGAAAATGTCACCAAAGGAAATCACGTCATCAGACACATGGTGCTACTGAGGCAGACGGAGTATTCTGAGAATGAAACCTAAGTGACATACCATGAATAAAGGAGGAGTTCAAATGCAATTTTGCTTTTCCTTTGAAAAATCCTCAGAATTCTTTGCAGAGGGAGTAGAAGCTGATTTATGTCATCAATGATAGCAAACAGAGAATAAAGAAAGCCAGTGCGGGAAACAACAAAAAGAAGAAATAATTTAAATCTCTTTGGAAGATGGCAGAAACAAAGAAGTGGAGAATGATCGACTTCATCGTGCAATATTTTCTACATGATATGCTGTGGTAAATGAAAGTTAGCATTTGTTAAGCTGATTCGATGGCACGAATGAAATTGGTCATATATACAATGGCAGAATGAATCAACAGTAACATCTGTAAAGAAAAATACAGTGAAGAAGGGACAGCCCCATGCAGTTGGAGAATATTACCAGGTATGGATTTCTACAGAGTTATAATGTTTTAACTAAAAATGAGCAAGAAAAACAAATTAAAGTGAAGCAAAGAACATTGTTACTTTTCTAAACATCCTGTTTAATATTTCATCATCATTTTAGCACGCATTCACTAGGCAAACTAGACAATGTAACCTCACTGGTGCATAAGAGTTTAACAGGAGAGAAAATTTACAGGTTTAGAATCTCTGATTAAAAAAAGAGAAAAATGACAGAAAGAATCTTATCATGGCATAACCGAACTCTTCATGTTATTCCTTTGTTTGTCTGGCTGACACTTCAGAGGAAGGCATGAAGCAAACAGAAAGCTCCTAGTTTTGCAAGCACATCTGCCCAAGCAACTACACTCATGCAACAATACCTGTCACCTGTGCTCCTAGGGCGCGTTTCAATCCAGGGTATAGATTTGATAACCGTAAGTCTCCATCATGAACTCCCATAAATATATATATTTTAAATGTGTGCATATAGGGGGCATATATTGTGCTTTAAAAACAGTAAGATAAAACTCCTACTTCTTTATGCAAGAGTCATCAAGAAGATCAATCTTATTCTGCACAAGAACTGTGGGAATGTCTCCAACTTCAGTCACAACTTTTTGCTTCCAGGTAGGGATTGCTTTGAAGGACTCTCTGTCAGTTGTAGAAAATACAAGAACACAAGCCTGGGCTCCTATAAATATACAAATCAAGTACAAATACAAATAAATACACATCAACCAACCAACAAATGAACAAAATTATCTATAAAGTATTTCAAATATGAGGGATTTCCAAGTTTCTCCCATAAAAGTACACTTTTACCACCACAAGTGGTGGCTTGTGTTAAAGCAATGGTCATATATTACCCAGATGAAAATAGATTGCCATATTATTTTGATCATTATACCTATCCTTCATGATATCTATGGGCCTGTTACCTTTCAAGCTATTTCCAGCATGCTGCATGCATGCAGGGGAGGGAATAGCATGGATGTGGAAAGGCTGGAAAAAAGAGAAAGAGAGGTTTGCTTGTTGTTCACTGTTTTCCAGACAACTTAATGGCGGCCAGATATTTTTTTGCATGCAGGATCAGTAAAGCACACTGCAAGTTATTCTTTGTGCTACAGCCATTTTGATGTTGAAAAGCTGAATTTTTTTTCTCAGAGGGAGCTGTGATTACTTCAAGTAAATTGTTTCCTAGCTTTTTGGAGAAAATAAGTGTATTTCTAATTCATACTCGTTCAATCACAGCACTATGATAAATTAAAGAAAGTGTTTTATACCATTTTTGTTATGATTTTGTAACAGCCTTAACAAACAACAGTTTAAACCTGCCAATACTGAGAAGTTCTTTCACAGACGATTAGTAAGTGGATTTTGACTGTCAGTAGCCCTTTGTTATCCTCAAGAAACTACTTTTATTGCATATGAGCACACAGAGAAACACACTAAAGTTTATATGCCTTCAGCATATTTGCTCTTTAGTAACAGAATGTAAAGGAAATGGATAGCTGACGTCTTTGAGACTAGTGTCATCTTGTGGTGAATATCACAAACTAATTACACATAGAATGAAAAATTATTTCATCAGTATGATTTTTTTTGTATCTCTTGAATTTCACCAAGTACCCCCCATTCCTGTATTCTGTTTGTCTTTGTATTTCTGTGACAGAAAGCACTCAAGTTCTTTTATTAGGTTTCCTTTTATTTAGCTTTTAAAAACCAAGTTCAGTCTATCTTTACAAGTCTTCCTATGCTCTTTCAAATTCCTTCACGTGCTATTAGGATCCTTCTAGTATGATTTTACACAGAATAACTACCCTCAACTTCAAACCAAGTTCTACCAAAAAAATTGTAGCAATGTAGTCTTCCATAATTTTCATTATTATTTGTGTTCTAAAATTCTGTGTGTGTTACCTGATGTCCACACCATATTCTAATGTATGCAGTTATTCTAATCCTGTGAGATAGGTATAAAATTAATTATTCTTTCCAAAGCAGGTTAGTTTGCATTTGTCGATGCTGAATTTAATTTAACCTATCGTCTGGCAAACCAGCTTAATAAAGCCTCCCAAGTTCTTTGCTCTACTAGAAATGAGAATTTTTATTAAGACTCTCACCATCAGTAAACATCACCTTGTTCAGTTTTTTAAGACTAAGAAATCTATTGTGAAGTTTCCACTCTAAGAGACTTTGACTTCACCTCTCTCCTTCCACCCATTCCTTCTGAACTCTAAAACATGGAGATAAGTGGGCAATAATAAGTTCAGAGGGCAAAGTTCTACCATATGGTAGTTAATAAGGGGGTGGCTTACATCACCAGACCTCCTTATTCAAACTACATATAGTACATGTAGAATGCAATGGACAGGGACAGTAAAAATAACTCAGTCTTTTTCCTAGCCATTGGATAATTAGTTTGTCAAGAACTGAATCGTGGAATCTTTGCCAAGTTGTTCATATTTCCCATGTTAAAAACCAAAAAGGCAAGATTTTCACAACCACTGTTATATGCAAAGAAAGCCTAAGCATGTGATTTGTAAACTGGCTAAATAGATGAACTGCCTTTATAAGACTGAGTAATACCATTTCCATTTCATGAAGTTAATAGACTTTCCTTATCACTCTATTGTGTTAACATGTTCAAGGCAACCTGTACTAACGAGAGAACTATCCTGCCTAGTAAACTATCTTTCTAAGATGACTGGTGGATTTTTTTCCCCTTGGATTAATTTCTAAGGGCCTCAGCCATAACTTTTGGAATATTTACAAATACATGTCTTACAGAAGTAATAAAACACTTCCAGAGGGAAAACATAACTTTGTGTTTGACTGTTTGAATGGCTATGTTCTGTGTAGTTTCTGCACAGGCATTTGTCTCATTTTGGTTTACGATTTTTAAAGGGCACTGCTGATCATCCTGCATAAAGTGGCATTTAATTAAGACAAAGATTTTGCATGAAGGGGAAAAACATTTAAGAATTGAAAAAGGCAAACTAAACATGCTGTGCACAGACATGGAATAACTAACACAACACAAAGATAGGAAAGTATTTCAGAGATGTGCAAACAAACTGTCAAACAACAAACATGGTATTTTCACCTCTGTAGTAGGCCTTAGTTATTGCATCAAATTCTTCTTGACCTGCAGTGTCCCATAACATTAGTCTGACATCTTCATCATTAACTCTGAAATAAACAGTGCATTTTTTTAATCCACACAGTGAACAAAACTTATTCAAAACAACTGTCATGGAAATACTTCAATTTGTACAACCGCAGAATAATCCAAGTCAAACTTCACATTAATGATGGTTCACCTCTGTAACATACTACAGCAACAGTCCCTCAATTGCATTATAAGCTCTTTACTGACAATATGTATTACATATTCCTCTTCCTTTCCCAGACATCAAAACAAAACTTAGGTACTTGAATAATGGCCCTTTTGTCTTTTTAATCATCTTATAGGCTTTACAGAATTTTCTTACTTCTCATTTTCCGTTTTATCAAACACAACTGGGAATTGCCTGCTTATATTGCATACAGACTAAATCTATAGCATATTTCTTTTTCCACAGTAACTTTTATCTATACTGACTAATAAATTTGTATTATCCTTTTATCAAAAGCACTTCTATTTCTTCCACAAGAAATTAAAAAAACAAATAAAAATTAACAGGTGGTAGAATACAAAGGAAACTTGTCAAAATTCTCAGTACAGAGGTTCCAAATTTTAGTTATAATTCTAAATCTTGGACGGAAAACAGAATGATATAATTTTAGCCCACACACAAGGAGAAAACAACTCCCTTTACTGTGCTTCAAAAGCAGCAGGCCTTGTCTTCCAAGCCTTCATATATCTCAGGATGGCAAAAGAACAAACAAAGAAAGGGAAAGGTAAAAATCAATAGCATAGCAACTGTTTAATACATACTGGATTTGTCTTTCCAGGAAATCTACACCAATAGTTTTCTTGTAGTCTTTTGTAAAAATCCCTTTACAGTATCGCTGAATCATGCTGGACTTCCCAACAGCTCCATTTCCTACTACTACCACCTTGATAGCCACCTCCATATCTTCTTCCAACATCTTTGTGTCTCAGGTGACTCTGGCTTATTCAGGAAACAATTGATTCTGTAAACAAAGTAAACGGCTATGTTCAGAAAAGCGCTGTGAAACTAAAGCAAGAGGAAAGATGATCACACGCATCAGGAATCGCACAGTACAATTTATCTCCATCTCTGTCATGGGCTGCTTAAGTGACCTTGAGCAACCTCCTTTCAAGAGGACAGCAATAAAGTCCCCCCTGAGCCTTCTCTTCTTCAGACTAAATCACCCCAGGTGCCTCAGCTGTTCCTCATCAGACTTGTGCTCCAGACCCTCCACCAGCTTCGTTGCCCTTCTCTGGACCTGCTCCAGCACCTCAATGTCTTTCTGTAGTGAGGGCCCCAGAACTGAACACAGGATTCAAGGTGTGGCCTCACCAGTGCTGAGTACAGGGGGATGATCACTGCCCTGGGCCTGCTGGCTATGCTATTGCTGATATAGGCCAGGATGCCATTGGCCTTCTTGGCTGCCTGGGCACAAGCTGGTTCATGTTCAGCCGCTAATAAGCGCCCTTTATGGTCCTTATGGTCCTTTTCCACCAAGCAGCTTTGCAGCCACTCTCCCTAAGCCTGTAGCACTGCATGGGGTTGTGGCCCAAATGCAGGACCTGGCACTTTGCCTTGTTGAACCTCATACTATTGGCCACAGCCCATCAATCCAGCCTGTGCAGATCCCTCTGCAGAGCCTTCCTACCCTCCAGCAGATCAACACTCCCACCCATCTTGGTGTTGTCTACAAACTGACTGATGGTGCACTTGATCCCCTCATCCAGAACATTGATAAAGATACTAAACAGAACTGGCCCAAGTACAGAACACCATTTGGGACCAGCCACCAACTGGATTTAACTCCATTCACCACCACTGTTTCGGCTTGGCCATCCAGACAGTTTTCTAGCCAGCAAACAGTACACCCGACCAAGCTATGAGCAGCCAGTTTCTACAGGAGAATGCTGACCAGTTCTGCTGACCCCCTCATTATTTTTTCAAGAATCAAAACCTCTACCATTTCATGATCAATATGCCCAAGATGGCATCCAGCCAACACACTGCCCACAGGTCCTTCTCTGTGTAGAAATAACAGGTCAGGCCTTGCCTAGCTGGCTCTCTCACCAGCAGTGTCAGGAAGTTATCTTCCACACATGCCAGAAATCTCAGGGACTCTTTCCTCTGTGCTGTACTGTATTTCCAGCAGACATCTGCTGACTGAAGTCCCCCAAAAGAATAAGGGCCAGTGTTTGTGACACTTCTCACAACTGCTTAGAGAATATTTTGTCTGACTCTTTATTCTGGTTGGATGGTCTATAACAGACACCCACCATGACAGCTGCCTTGTTGGCCTTCCCCCTGATTTTTATCCATGAACACTCAACTCTATCATTAGCATCATCAAGCTGTAGACAGTTAAAACACTCCCTTATCATACAGGGAAGGACCTTGCTAGCACACTGCTCCTCAAACACTGGTGTGCTGCCCGCAGGCTTATCTCTCGCAATCCTGGTTTTAGCCCTTTCCCCCTTCAAATCTAGTTTAAATATCCTTCAGTGAGCCCTGCAAACCCCTGTGTTAAGACACTTTCCCTCCTTTGAGACAGGAGGCCTGTTGCCAGCAGATGCGGTGCCCTGTAGACCGATCCATAACCAAAGAACCCCAGATTCTGCTGGTGACACCAGGCTAGGAGCCAGGTGTTGATCTGTGGCTCTGCCTGTTTCTTCCCTCTTCATTCCCTGCAACTGGCAGGATAGAGAAGGCCACTTCTTGTGCTCCTGATCCCTTAACCAGTTTTCCCAAGGCCCTGAAGTCTCTTCGTTGCCCTTCTTGTTACAATTGCATCGCTGTCTACCTGGTAAAAGCTGGGCTTCCCCTGCCTTTTGCTGTGCCAGGATATCATCACAGTAACACTCTGCATCTGCAGAGTGGCAGATTTTCCCCCAGGAGATAAGTAACGCCCCTTTCAAAGAAGAAAATACGCCTATTTTAAAGACTTTGCCCACACACAAGCGCCCCGTGCCGGAAGAGCCGGGTATCCGATACCCTCGCTCCCGCTCGCTATGCAGATAACGTGTCTGGTTGCATTTAACACCAGGACACGCACATTTTTATCGGGTATTCGTCAAACACCGCTAATCCCTCGCCAGCTCTGCACCCACGGCTCCGCATGGCCGGGACCTGCCCGCGGCCACCTCCCGGCCCCGGCCGGGGGGAGCCGCCGCCACAGTCACACCGAGAGCGGAGGCTCTGCTCCCCTCCAGCAGCCCCAGCCCCATCACCACCCGCCCCGCCGCCTCCCCAGCCCCGCACCCTCCATCGCCCTCCCGCCCCGGAGCTCCCCCAGCCGCCGGCCGGCGCCTCGATTCCCTCCCGCCAGCCTGCGGCCCCGCACACCAACCGGTTCCCTTGCAGGAGCGGGGCGGGCGGCTCTCCCTCAGAGGGCTCGGCGGCAGCTCCACCTCAGCGACGGCGAGGCAGGGAGAGAGGCAGGGAACGGGGAAAGGAGGGGAAGCGAGAGGAAACAGCTCGCTGGGGCCAACCCAACCCGGACGCACATCCCGGCTCCCCAGGCCGGAAGCGCCGTTAGGACTGGGGGCGCCGCTCAGGGAGGTGCCTGCCCACTGCCCCCCCCTCCACCTCCGCGGCGGATCTTGGCTGGGGATGGGTGGAGGGGAAAGCGGCGGCGGGAGACGGGCCTGCCCTCCCTTGGGGTCTGGCTTCGGGGTCGTTGCCGCCCGAGAGCGCAGTGGTGAATGCGATGTGACCGCCTGGTTGTGAGGGGCCTCGGCTGGGTTCCTAAGGGGAAATCATCTTCCCGCCCCCCACGTGCCTTCATCCCTGCTTCGCTCTCTGTCCGGCGGCCTTTCTTCCTCTCCGCATCTTCCGCGGGTAACGAAACAGTGTGTGACCAACCGTGGCCATTCCTTAGGCTATTACTGAAGGCAGCTGCTCTTCATGTGGGCAGTACCCGTGGGGTTTTGACCAGGGTGTGGCCGTGCCAGTTTCAGCCCATTACCGTGGCACATGGTCTGCAGCTCCCACACTTACGTAAAACAGAATATGCTAGGTTTTAGTGTAATTGTAGGCGTGATAGCCTAAAGATCTGAAGATCTTCCATTGCTAGGGTTGTGGCTGGGTTTTGTGGGTTTTTTTCTGGGGGGGGGGGGGAGATGAGGTTGTGGTTTGGTGTTTGTTTTTTTTTTAAATTTGGTTTGGGGTGTTTTTGTGGTTTTCTTTCGTGGCGTTTTGTTTTTTTGTTTGTTTATTTTGGGTTAGGCTGATAAAAGATGCCTCCCTGCCTAAAAAACCCTTTCTCTTTCCACATTGCAAAGTGCATCTTGCTACAGGGAGTGGCAACTCTCAGTGCCCCCACAGCACTCCAGATACTCAAGTATGGCCAAGTAACACTTGGGTATTGCCATGTTAAGTTGCTGAAAACTGCCTTGCACACCAGCAGGCTCTCGGCTCCTGTCCCGTGCTTCCCAGCAGGGGAGGTTTACATTGAAGAGTAGGGGAAATTTCTTCACCAAAATGGTTGTGAGGCACTGGAACAGGCTGCCCAGAGAAGGAGTTGAGTCACCATCCCTAGAGGTATTTAGTAGATATCACATGTGGTGCTCTGGGACATGGTTTAATGTTGGACTTGGTCAGTGCATGGTTACAGTGCATGGTTAATGGTTAGACTTGATGATTCAAGATCATCATTGGTCTTTTCCAAGCTAAAGGATCTTGTGATTCACTGGAGTCAGTTGGTGCTGCTTGTGCCTAGATAAACACCTTTTGGAGGAGCGTGTTTCACAGATACACCTCAAAAGAATAGTTAAATGTTAGGCATGCAAATTAATGCTTTCATTTTGTTAATGCTGATCCCGCTGCTAGTCTCAGTCTATCTGATGCTAGAGCTTGTGTGTGCCAAAAGGCCTTGAATTAGAGAGCCCTCCTATTAACTCCAAGATAAATTTGTTACCAGCCTAATGCCCACGTAATTAATGTCAGAAATACTGCTTTGTGTACTTCCCAGGTTTCATCGTTGGGGCACGTGGCTGGATTAATCTTACCTAACCCTATACTGCAAGCATTCGTGGTGTGTGGTTTACCTTTAGATGGCTGTCAGGTAGCCCAGATGAACCACTGCCTCAGTTCTCCCTGTTCACTGGAAAGGGAGCCTGTGGCCACAGCTGTATGGGATTAGAAGAGACATTCCCCATTTTGAGTGCTGTAATTTAAACAGCAAGTTAGTGACTGCTGTAAATAATTATAGTTTCTAATTTTGTGCTCTTTGAATTCTATATATTGTGTAATGCTTTCATGAAGTGTAAGGCTGGGACAGGTACTGTGACCTGTCTGCCATACTGGCAATGTGCATGTATTTCTTTGTGAAACCCCAACAATCCAGTGAGGCTAAACTCTTCCAGCATGTCTTACATGGGTATATTGAGAGCAATTCAGGAAACTCTTCTTATGATGTCCCACCAAGGAACAAGAAGAATGGAGGAACTGATACATTCAGAGATATCAAAGCTTTAGCATATATGTGATTTGGTGACTCGTGGTGAGATCAAACAGCAGTGTGACTTGTTTGCAACTAAAACAATTTTACCTCTTTTTCTGTGTGTCTAAATTAAAATTCCAGTCACTGGATCTTACTACATCTTTTCACAGAGATTGACTAGCACCTATTCTTGGATATGTTTTCCTATTCCTGGATATGTTCTCCATTTGCAGGTTCCAGGATGCACTAATGAAATCAGCTGTGAAACTTCTCTTCAAGAAACTGGGTATCCCAAGCCCTGCAAGACACCTATCATAATGTGATAGCATTATCATATAATGCTGTAAGCATTATAATATGATTTTCAGCATCTAGACCACTTTCTGTGACATTCCTTTGCACGCTTTCCAGTATTTGGATGTTGCAAGCAGATACACCAAATTAGGAAGCAGATGATACCACATTTGTGTTATAGTAGTATACATACAAAGGTCAGGTAACTTAGAATCACATCATAGAATCACATAATGGTTTGGGTTGGAAGGGACCTTAAAGATCATCTAGTTCCACCCCCCCTGCCACAGGCAGGGACACCTTTCATTAGACCAGGTTGCTCCAAGCCCCATCCAACCTGGCCTTGAACAGTGCCAGGGATGGGGCAGCCACAGCTTCTTGGGGCAACCTGTTCCAGCACTTCACCACCCTCGCAGGGAAGAATTTCTTCCTAATGTCTAATCTAAATCCCCTCTCTCAGTTTAAAGCCATTCCCCCTTGTCCTATCTCAATATGCCCTTGTAAAAAGTCCTTATTCAGCATTCTTGTACTTTCTACCTTCTACTTTGTATTCCCCCTTTACAGACCCCTGAAAGGTCATTCTAATCCCTTTTGCTGTACTGTTTCAGCAAGGTCTCCTGTTACAGAGAGTTCTCTGTACGTTCTGTGATTACTGCTTTCCAAGGCACTTTTTTAAACGTGAGCATACAACCCATATATTTTTTCCAGATGTATTATGGTGCAGTTATCTACAACGAAATTATTTTGTTTGACTGCAAGGCAAATCAAATTGATCCATAACAGGAAAGTAACATCGTCCTTTATTAAAATCGTGTTTGTTAATGGCAAGCTTGACATGAATTGTCTGATTTATCAATAAAAATGTTAAATAGCCTTTCACCAAGAGTCCTTGGGAGTCCCATTAGAGTCACTGTAGTTGCTGATATCTCCATAACCAAAACTAGGTTTTGAAATCTCTGTGAGCCAGTTTAATGCATCTGCTGCATGCCCTGTTGTTTTTTTTCTGCATAGTGTATGCATTTAGGCAATACAATCCAAAGGGGAACTTCTTGACATGTTTTCTGTGCAGATATGCTGCCCATGGTAGGGGGGTTGGAACTAAATGATCTTAAGGTCCTTTCCAACCCTAACTATTCTATGATTCTGTGATGGACTTTCAGTCACTATTTCTGTTAATATGATAAAAATTCTTCCATTTATAAAAGTGTATATTTTACTATATTAATTCCTTTTAAAGTTGGATTTTAGATTCACTGCTCATATAGAATACCTAGGAATTGAGTGGATGGATGACTATGTCATCAGTTCCCACCAGCTCCTAAACTGACAGGGGTGACAGTGGACCTTGTTATAGCAAGTTATGCAGTGAGCTGCAGTGATGCCCTGTGTCAGGCTTTCCTCTGTACTCCCCTTCTTGACAAAGAGATAAGGCTAGTACTTGCCAAGAGAGACACTTACCCACGATTCAGCAACTTGGACTTGTCAAAACATCCAGACATTTAAAGAGTTTGAGTTGGAAGCCAAAGTTTGCCTCTCAAATCTGCTGCCACTGACAGTTTTCATTATTTTTTCTTCTCCTATAATAAAAGCCTTGCAAATTCACAATTCTGACCTACCATTTTCTTCTGACCTACTATTTCTGTTGTTATCACTTATTTTTGTAGATTTTTATGTATTGTCCTTTCTGTCTTCAGATTTTCCAGGGGGCAAGATGAGGAGCTCTAGAAGTAGAACTTAGTTGGGGATAAGAAAACAAACCGTTCTGATTAAAATTTGCTGCTGAAGGTGGCTGAGGAGAACTTTCTTTATGGTGACTGGAAAGCTTAGTCATATTTGTTTTATTAGTAATGCATTCCTTTACTTAAATTTGGCAGGATATACAGACCCTTCTGAGGTATTTTGGAGAACACAGTACTTACTGTAGTCAAGCAAACTATTGCCTTATTTTTACTTTATTTTCAGGGAGTGTTGTTGGTTGGAGCATTACATCTGAATTTCCAGAGTTTAGAATTGGTCGAAAAAAGTTTCAAGCTCAGCGTTGTATTTAGGCACCCGAGTTCCTCTAAAAGCATGTAACACAGGCTTTGTGAGTTTTGTGTATATTGAGGACTCACAGCTTGCCTTGGAATCAGTGGAGCTAAAAAATGTGAGTAACCTAGAAAACTGTTAGCTAAAAAATGTGAGTAACCTAGAAAACTGTTAGCTGTATATGTTCTTACATGCATACATACATGTGTATCTTACAGTACATGTGCATATGCTGGCAGAAATATCCTGTGAAAATGCCTTTTTTTTTTTTTTACTTCTGTGTATTTGGTGAATAACCATTTTGACAGCATTTCTGGGAAGAATTAGATAGAATAGAAACTAGGTACAAGGAAGGTGGCAATAATCCAGTGAAATTAAAAAGATTTCAAGTAACTGGAAATGTCCAATAGAAAGAGAAAGGAAATATGATCAGCAGTCATTACTTTGGGGAAATGAGCTTGCCGTTCAACAGGAGAGTCAAAAGGTCTAAGAAGGTCAGAGGAAAGCAGACACTTCCATTTCAGTCTAGAGTACTTGCTATGAAAATACATGTAAATAATTAAACAAAAGCTACACAGAGACCTAAGCTGTGAAGAGTTTATCTTGCTACCCACTGTCATTTGTAAGTGCTGTTCAGACTTCCTGCAGAGCTGTACTTTTATCCTCTTTGTATTAGAGGAAAATATTCTGATGAAGTGCAAAACTTTCCTAATAATAAACTAATGCCATTCAAGAACTGGAATCACGAGAGTGCGGTAAGTTACAGTTAAGTAAAGTTGTTCTCAGAGGCAAT